GCCATGAAATGCTTTTGTAAGAAGACCTTAAATAATGCAGAGAATATTAGGTGTAGTACATTTAAAATAATTAACCAAGTAARAAGTATTTAAATCATCAAAAATCATGGGATATAGGATAGATTTCTCTAAAACATTACCAGTTTTAATATGAAATTACATACTGGCAGGCAATAATGATATTTACAAGTGAAACAAATGAGACCAAGTCTCTGTATCTACTGTATGTGGTTCAGGTTCATCATGATAGCACATTGCTCCCATCAGGATTCTGTGATTTTTTTTAGAGATTCTATTTACATCTTGGTGATGCTTTACAAGATATAAATTGTCAYGTGTAACTTTTTTCTGAGCCATCTTCCTTGACAGAGATTTTCAGATCCTTCTAATCCAAACAAGAAAAACTCCTTCTCTAGGTTCAGTCAAAAACAGAATATTCAGTCAGATTGCAGGAGGAGGAGTCAAGCAATTCACCAGAAAATATATATAAATGTTTCRAAGACAAAAACACTATTATTTTAGATTTTTACAGTTTGCCATTAGGGAGAACTCAAAAAGTAAATGAGACTTTTACATGTACACATGTATGCTATTTCCTACTTAAATTGTGGGCCACTATGTTCATGGGCTACACAGGAAGAGGAAAGATAAGCAGCCTTATCTTCGTTTTTAACCTTTAAAGGATGGATTGAGCCATCTTTTGCCCATGCCATTGCCATGACGGGACGATTTCTCTGCTGCCTCAGGGAATGTAACACAGTCAGAGTGCCTCAGGAGAAAAAAGCATGACAGTCCTCATGTATTTGGGGCTTTATCTCAGGACTGTGGTACTCAACCCTGTTGGTAGCACCCTGGCAAGAAGTGATGACCTATTTCTCGCAAGCTGTGTCATGTGAACTTAGCTGGCAAACATGAAAGAACATGAAGTTATTGGGAGTCATGTGATTTTACTCTTAGTCTAATATTAAGTGTTAGTTACAAGTCTGAAACCACCCTAAAACAAGGTAAGTCTCATACAAAGATCTCCAAGGTTGACATAAAAAAATTAGTCTCTTCTTCAGCCTCTTCTCCCGTCTTGTAGTGTTTCATGTGGAGCAAGAACTGATTTAAACCGTGAATAGCAGAAGAACTCTTTTGCTATTAGCAGGTTATTTTTAATAGGATTTACCATCATAATTTGATCTCTCTGATTATATGAACAAAAATCACCTGTGATGCTGCCTCTCTGCTGTACACCGCTGCCGGGGTGGCAGTTTGTTCCCATTAGCTGGGACATGGCATGCGTATAATGAGCCGAGAGCTGAAGTAAAAATGCCACGTCACGAAAGCACATGCACTGACCTCGAGGCCTAGGTAAACTACGGAGGAATATTGCCACGAACAAGCCGTGTATTTTCAGAGGAGATGTTTATAGATTTGTTCCTAGGGATGATTCTTATGCAAAGTGCAGGGCCTAATTAAGTTCTCCCATCTCTCTGTATTTTTCTCGCCTCCTGACATTTGTATAGCAGCATATTATAACGGAAATACGGCCCAGATGAAAATGCATGTTTGTTGATTACATTTGTAGCTGTGCAAACATGCTTTATAGTTTATCATGCAGTCCAACAATTCAGTTAGCTTAAGTTGAAACTAAATTATTCAGTGCCATTTTTTTTTGAATTGACCATTCAATGGACCAAATTTCCAGTGACATTTACCATCAATAAATCTAATCTGCATGCATTAAAGATACAAATTGTGCTGCCCTTTTATATGGGTTGATTCCACTGCAATATTTCATCTGTTTCAGTATTTGTGCTTAATCAGAATAAAGAGCAACTATGGTTTCTTTGTTTAGTTACATGCCGGCTGTTACTCTTTCTTTAAAGAAAGATTGCTGCTGTGACTGATCTAGCCATGTACTATAAATTTTAATAAATGCATTTCAAAATTCACAAATAATATTAAATCTGATATCCAGAAACACAAAGCATTCCAGACTAGTTGCAAGGGTGAGTGGTGAACTGCTGATGAAAGGAGAAATATGACTTTAGCTATGGAAAGTAATTTACCTGCTTCTAAAAGGGCTTTCACATTTATGCCAAGGAAATGTCTAAGACAATCCGCTGCAAGCAAGCAAGAGCTATCAGGATGTGTTAGGTAAAACTCAGTCGTACTCTTGACCTTTCAAAACCATGTGCAGCTAACGTTGATGCTTTTGACAACATGCACAAGTTGTCACAGTTCCTTGGAAGGATATTTCCATTCTTCATTGAAACAGTATTTTCTGTACTATGCAGTTGATAGTTATTTTAAGATATAAGTTTTGAGTTATATAGCATATGTTATAGCCTATACTTTGCAAGAAAAATCCAAGTGTAATCTTGGATCACAGTTAGTTTCTCCTGTGCAGTTGGAGAATGATCTAATCAGTGTCTAATCATCAATGTCGTGCAGTAAAGAATCAGCAACTTAAATTAAACTGCCAGATTCAAACACACTGAAAGGCTGTTTTGAGATCCAAAGTTTCAAGATTTAGATGTTCCTGTAACAGACATAGACAGGTGGACTGAGGAGATGTAAATAAAGATTCTCACAAGAAATCACTTCTAAGAACAAACCTTTTTTGTTTTCTAATACTTCTATTTGAAATGTGGTGTGAGGATGAATATAAATAGAACCTGTAGCTTTCAAGCAAGAGTCCTGTTTTGAATGAATATCCGTGCTAAGCTAGACTTATGCAAACACCAATATGTTTTTCTTTCTCCCTAGATATTTGTAAAAATAGAGAATAGAGTTTAGGATATGTTTAACAGCATCTCATTCTACATTTCCAAAATGTATCCCTTCAAAATGGGTGCATACATAATGAAAAAAGTAATAAAACATTCTATAAAATATGTAAACAGTTATATTCTGATCATGAGAAAAATCATAGATTCTATACATATTTCATGAGCATTTATATTGTTCTGTTATACAGTCTTGGCAGAAAAGAAAGTATAGGACCACCAGATTAGATTTAAAATGTCACTTTCATGCTAACAGTCTTTTCCAGCTTATTCCAAAAATTTTATCTGCAGTTGGAAGCACCAGTAGATTAAGTCAGTGCCATCCTCCCTGGCAGGCTTGCTCCCTGTATGCCCTTGTGTCCCTGACAGCCAGTCTGTACTGCCAGATTATGGCAGTGGGTCTTGTGGTCTGCTGATGTCTCCCAGCATGAAACCCCCTCCAGGGAAAGTTATGATTTATAGGCAGGGCACTAGTTCAACAGACCTCAAGAATACCCAAGGAAATAGCAGAGACTGACAGAGAGGAAGGGAAATCAGGAGGGAATCTTCTCCATGCATGAAGTGAAAGCGAATTTRGAAGAAGTTCATTAACCTAATTCATCTTTTCCTCACTAACAGGCCTACATTTTTATTGTTGTCCAGAAATATACCTTACTTCCACCAAGGAGATATGTATCTGTAAAAAAAAGTAATAAAATAAAAAATAAGGAACAGTACCCCATAAGCTCAATATTTTCTCTTCATATGCACAGTTAAATATCTGGATATTACTGGCAAATTCTCTCTTGCTATAAGGAACTGAAGATGCTTTGGGAAGACAGGCTTTGGGGATGTGTATCCTGAGACAAAGACTCTGCAAAAAATTAGGAAGAGTCAAGGGAAACCTCTTGGGTTGCAGTATTCTTATGCCCTCACCACCAAAATCTCCTGAGTCGCTGTGACGGCAACCACATTTGGCTCTCAGAAAGTCTGTCCTTCAAGCTACTTGTGTAGGGACTTGATAGCGTAACTCAGAAACAATTCAGTTTTTAAARCCTTAAAGAAAATGACCCTGTTGTCCCATTCTTGTCATATGTTTCTCTCACTTGCAATGTGTTAACCTGGTGAGGAGATAAAGATCGTACCACTATTCATGGGAAAGATTTTTCCCAGAAATATATATTTTTCATTAATTACAGTGAATCATCAACACCGGATTTCACTGGATGCATACAGTGTTTTCTTTCTCTCAAAATTTCAACATTACTTTGGAAATCTACGACATAAATATTTCCCAGGTATCCACAGAAATAGAAATGGAAAATACTTGCAAAATTTGATAGAGACATTACTAGATGTTGGAGTCATCCAATCCTTAAGTTAGATTAATTATATCAATAGATGCTCAGTCTGAGCCTGGTGCCAAGCCTGCTCTCCAAGAAAATTCCCCTATGATGTGAAGCATACTTTGTAATGAAAATTAGTCAGCCTGTTTTATTAACTGTGCCTTCACGCAGTGTGAAAGTCTATTTGGGATGAAGTTTGTATGACCAGTTCCAGAAATTTTGTGTTTGGGAAGTGAAGATTGTGTGGAGGGGAGGCCTATGTGGGTTTGTGGGTTTGGATCTTGGACAGCTGAGGTCTGGGGAGCTCACAGATGTAGATCAAGAGGATGCAGCAGCAGAAACTGGACCAGGAGATTTTGAATTTTCATAGAAATATTCCAGATTGCTCTGGAGAAAAGAAGACAGAACTGATAGAGTTCAGTATTCAAACTAATTTAACAGATGTTCTTTTTCAGTACAGCAAAGAAAATGATTTTGTATTTGAGAATTCTTTTTATTACTTTATTTTGCTTTTAGAAAATTGCTTTAAAATATTTTAAGTGCTATTTTTATCACAATGAGCAATAAAGAATATTTTGAATACTAGATTTTTTTCCCTAATCTATATTTTTCTTTCAAGCAGTTTTTCTGGAAAGGTACMACCTTTAAATCTCGTATTCCCTTTCTTCTCTCTCTGTCTCTGTCTCTCTCTTTTACCTCCACTATCTATCACAATTTAAAAACAGGAGATGCAGTCCTGTAGTGTGAGTTCTTTTAAATGTTCATAATTCCAGGCAAAGAAGTAGGTGTGGAACTTTATGCTAATAACTCATGTTTCAAAATGAACAAATTGTCATAAAACTAGCTTGTAAGTAATTTWAAAAAAAATTCTCTTCTGATGTTTTTGTCCATTTTTTTCCAGAACTAGAGGCCGAGGAGTGGTGCAAACATCTCTGCATGGAGTGTCTAGGGACCAGACTCAATGATATAAGTCTTGGGGAACCCGACTTGCTTGCTGCTGGAGTCCAGAGAGAACAAAATGGTAAGTWATTTTGTAATTGCTGCTATATCTGTTCTTGGGTGATCTATATCCTCTGCTGTATTTGCTGTTGTTTCTTATCGGGGAGATTTTTCCTATTGCTTAGAAGTATTGCACTAAAATAATCAGTAAACACACTGGATATGTTTTAGAATAACAATTTTATTTTCTACAAATGAAGATGAAGTTGATGCCAAACAACACAAATACAGTGATTTAATGTGTTCATTATGTTCACATTTGACATGAAAAATTATGATTATGACCTTTCTGGTTCTGGAGAGAATGGCCTCTGTGCAGAGGAATAAAGCAGTAGTCATTCCACAGCCTTTGAAAGAAGGTGATGAATATTTGAACAAGGCTTTGGATTGCAAAAAACATTTTTGTTTCATGCTCATGCATGTCTTGAACAATGAAATCTAGATCAGATGTGSATCTAGAAATCTCATCAAATGTTGATCTAGAAATGTCAGCAAATACATCTAGTATTCAGATACTATATATAAACCTGATCTTATAAATCTTCATATAAAGGTTTTTAAATTAAATTCATGCAGGAGCAATGCTAGTGAATAAAATATTCAATAACAAAATAAAATCTGTGATTATAGTCTCTATTGATTTCTATTAATGAACATGAAGGCAACACAAAATATACTCATTTATTCCCTTCTAAATCCCTCCGGATTATTAATATTTTCATGCTTAAATAAAACTCAATATCTTTTAAAAAAGTGATAAAACAAATTGTCTCAATGGTTATAAAATTTCAAACTATCATTAAAAACAAAATCTAATAATTGAATTATAGAATAGCACTATATAAATTACATTGTATTAATTTCTTATAAGAACTTATTCACCTCTGAAGTTAATACTATAAGATGAAAAAGAAATTTTGTTTAAAGATCAGATATTACTGAAGTATAACTTTAGAAAGTTCCAGTGTTTGTGGAAATTCTTTGCTTACCATGACACTAGATTCAATATGTAACCTGGTTTAACTTTACATATGTGTCAAACTATAGTACAAATTACACCTGCCAACATTGTGGAAGAGTGATAAGGATCAGATACAACTGATAATGATCAGATACAAAGCATCCTATCTGCTTTATATGCATAGGCTATAGGTATAAAGGCATATACGCACTGTTAGCAAGAGAAATATGTGAGCAGGTGCAGTTCTTTTACAAAAGAGAAGAGAAATGAATCTTGTCAAAGCTTGTAATGTGAACAGAAAAATAGTTCAAAATTCTTCAAGCTGTTTCATTAGCGAATCATCTAGTGTCCAGCAGCTTTGAGTCTTAGATGAAAAATACTACATTTCATCTTGTTTTAGAGAGAAAGAGATGCAGTCATACGAAACATATCCAGAATATGCAGATTAGTCCTGTTGCTTGAGCGAGTCTTGATTCAGTTGCTTTAGTGTAGGAATTAATTGCAGTACTAGCAATAAACAAAGAGAACATAATCTGCTTCTTTATTTCTCAGAGTAAATAAAAGGATAAAAGGAAGCAAAACTAATGAATATGARCATATGAAGGGATATGATTACCAGTCTTTTTAAACCAAGTGGCTGAGTAGAATCCAATATTTGAAAAATACTCTCTCCTAAACCATTAGTTACAGGATCTTATACAAGCTATTCTAGTACCGATCTCCTTCCTTCCCTCATTGCCCTCATGCACCACTCTGCATTTTAATAGGCATGTTTGAAATTCAAAGTTGTCTTTTTCAGTTCTGGAAGCAAAGCAAATTCTAGTTAGGGATTTTTTAATCAATTYGGAAGGAGGTGAGAGTACAGAGATTCTTATTACTGGTACGAAATGTGGCATTTTCAGCAATCTAGCTGTGCTATAAGAATCTGTACTTGTGCTCAGATTTCTTTAGCAGTTTTCTGAGGTAAAATCAGTTGAACATAACCGTGACTTGGCCTATCTTAGTTCCTGTAAACTTGGAAGACATGACAGTTTTTTGGAAAAGATGTGTATTTGTGGGTGGAAACACCTGGTGACCTGTGATAAAAATTTAAAATCTGAAATTTACTTTTCTGCACATTTTCAATATTGTAGCTCATAAGGGCATGCTACAAAGGCTGTAGTTCAAAAGATACTTAAAACCCCTTAAAAAGACTATTGACCTTCTGTCAACCTGAGAATGAAGGGTCAAAGTTTAAATTTCCAATTTAAAACACATGACAAGTGAGTATGTGCAAGAAATGTCAAATCTTTCACATTGTGAAAATGGCAGCTGTGACACTTTAAAGTGATTTCTTTGTGTATGTGTTAGATAAATGTACATTGATATAAGAACTTATATTGCATTATTTTAAAACAATTTGCAAGTGTTTGTTAACCTCATGGACTTCCTGTTGAGTTAGTCTACTATTAGCATCTACTGAAAAATGGTAATGCAAGAATGTATAATAAATGTTTGCAAAACCACAATAGGATCTCAAAGTCTAAATTTCTGATTTCATGCATGCCCTCTTCCCAGAATCATGCTATGGCTCTCCTTTGGAGCTGAATCGAAAAYGCCTCAGCCTCTGATTAAGACCAGAGATGGTATTTGGCCTAGAGTCCCAGTATTTTTTACAATTTTCAATGATTTTTTTTGTCATTTTAAGAGCTAAAAGCAATTGAAGTGCGGTGCTACAGCAAAATGTTAATATCTGCATGATATGTCAGGGTGTYAATACCTTTAATCCCAACACAGCAGGCATAATCCCACTTCCTTTTTCAAATAGTTGTTGATAAAGACCATCTGAAACGTTTARTATTTGGTAAAGATATTTCTTTGATTACAAAAGAATTAGCCTGATGTTTGACCCGTGCCTCCAAAATACGTAACTCTTTCCTAGCATTGATATTTTTAATGTGCTATGTTCTTCATCTGTTCTTTCTTTTTCCCATTGCTGTCATCAGAAGTCATTTTCCTGGTATGCATTGATATGATATGGACTTCTAAGATTAGTCACTGAAGCAATCACATAAATTTGGAATCTCATGACAAAAGAGAGCAGATTATCTGTTGTGCRTTTATTTTATTTCCAGGATATGATCATCAGTAATGAAAACTTTAGTTTAGTTTAGTTTAGTTTTAAGGTTTTTTTTTTGATAAATTTCTTAATTGATACTGTAAAATCTTTGGGATCATGAAAACCCATTGCCACATGCTACTTGAATTTTTTACATTCGAGGACTCAAGTTACAGAAAATATTTCAGAAGGAAAATAGGTGTGTTTGCTGTGATTTGTGTGGCACCTTTTTGTTTATTATGTTCATCCTCTCACTCTCACTCTTGTGCTCAACTCATGAGTTGAGCTTTTGATTTCGGAAAGGAAGACACTTGATCCTCTACCTCATGCATGTGATAATTTGTTTTGCAAAGCCATTTTTTTCTAGAGACTGGTAAAATTGGGACTTGGCATGCAAATAAATGTTATAGCTAAATGGTACATTTATCARTTATTTGTGTGACATGAGGAGAAAATACGTGGCGGTGCAGCGGTTAGGAAGAGACTAGTTCTGTTCTGAGCTGCTCTATGGGTGCTCGCAAGATCCTGTCTATCACAGCAGCACTGGTGCATGACCCTCTAGTGCCGTGCAAGCTTGCGGTGGTAGTAGCTGAAGAAGCTCAACTGTGCATGTGAGCTGCTGCGGTAGGGGCTTATGGCCGCTGTTGTGACTTGCAGCAGGAGCACAGGAGGCTCCCAAGAGACTTTTGTGGTTATGCAAATGTGGTGCCAATAKCTGCAAGCCTCCCGCTGCACTCCATCTCCGTTATTACCTGTAAGAAGCGTTACTTCAAGTGGCACTATGATAGTTCCAGTGTGGGAAATGACCCTTGGATGATTTTCTTTTTTATATAAAAGGCTCACAACTAATGACTACTTAGTTTGCAATGAAATGCAGTTTCTGATAAAAGTGATATTTGCAATGAAGCGTCCCGTACACTTGTTTTACCTTCTTTCCCTTGCAAATTCATGTGACTTCCAGTGTTCCCCAGCCCTATAACAACAAAACAGGCTTTACTGCTTATGAAAGTCCATTTAGATTATTTTTTTAAGAATGAAGATATAGGATTATATGAAAGGCAATAAAGACTACATGATCCTCTTTAGATAATGAATTTAGCATAATGGTACTGGAACTCTAGATACAATGGCAGTGCAACTAATAATACATAGTAATAACTCCCAGAAAGAAAATCTGGACTCAGTTGCAAGCAATCTTCTAAGCAATATACTCAGACCTTTACATATGCCTTTCGTATTCCTTACGTTTCCCATGCTGCCATTAGGGAAAAAGAGCATTCATACAGAGTGCTGTCTTCAACTGAAAGACACAGAAACTTCCCACGCAGATCTCAATGCATCTAGAAGCTRCTGTAGTAGTGCACCCAAAACCTAACAACAGGAACAAATCTGCTTTTTAAATATTTTTAACTGCCTGGTTGTCGCGGAATCTGCCTACGGTGATGATTTAATCAAAATGTCACAAATTTTAATCAAAAAGTTCCTTTTTATAAAAGGAAGCAATAAAAAAAAAAAAAAAAAAAAACTAAATGGACAATGAGAGACTAGGTTTACTGTGTAAAATAAACCAGGATATTCAAGACAATATTGATTGAAAAATGATTATTTGAATAAGATGCTATCAAAATGATTCTTTAAAAGCACATGCTCTTTTTTGATAAAGACARTATACTTATCTGTTATGAGTACTAAAGCTACTACTTAAATAGCTGAATACTTGTACTAAAATCAGATACTTTGAGGTGTTACTTGTAATAATGATGGAAAGAGGGAAGAAACTGGGAATTAAAAAATGCTCATTTTTTAGATGAAATAAAGGTCCATTCTATCTTTTACTGCTATGGCTCAGTTAATGTTTGCTGTCATGCCTGTGATGTCAAGATGATGCCTTTCTATTATGTCTTTCTGGTGCTTTGGCATTCCTTGATATATGCTGTAAGGCTAATTTCRATTTTCAAAGACTGAGCAAATCTGAAAGATAATTAATTTTTAATTCTTTTACTCCCTGCCTAATATAACTTGAAAACCTCATAAAATTTCTTCCTCTATAAGCGTCTGTCTTTTTTCTTAGTAACTATTATGCAGCCTCCCTTTCTTATTTAAAGGATACTASAGTACAGCAGTCTCGAAACATTTCCTGTGTTTTAATAGTAAGAAATTCATTAATTACTCTTAGTAAAAATGTACCTTCCTGTGCTGAAAAATGTCTTTGAATACTTAGAAGAGGATTATGAGTTATTTCCTTACACTACATCCTAAGATTACCATTACATTCATTTTCTGTTATCATTAATCTGTTTTCGTAGTTTTATTTTTCAAGAATAAAGTAAACACTGCAGACTTTTTTCAAAGAAGAAAGGRATTTACAGATTTAAGTGGTTAGTTAATCCAGTGAGTTTTCAGATTCTTCTCGACTTTACTTACCAGGAAATAGTGTGCATCAGCCTTGATATTTTATTAAAAAGAAGTTAATAAACCTTTCCATGCATTTATAATAGATGCAAAGCAGAATAATTATATACGGAAAGAGATATAGAAGTAATTCTTAAGGGCCACTTCCTCACTGGGAAGGAAAACCAGAAGAGAATCGTCCTAACAGCCCTGATGTATGGAATGACAGAAGATGCTGTGACTTAAAGCTCGCTTTCCACCTGGAAATTAGTGATGCGCTGTCAGCAGAAAAAGATGGAGGAGCTTATTCAGGTAGAARCTAAATGTGTGCTTTTAAAGCCTCTTAGTACATAGGTTCCACCAATGACCTGACTGCCTTTTTCCATAAGTGCTTTTCCTTGACATTAAAGCCAAAATGAAAAGAAGCATCGAGATTAGAGGATTTCAGGGTTATCTATTCAGTTTTCCACCTGGGATGATTTAGCCAAAGGAATCTAGTGATAAAATGATTAGATCCAGGATCATTAGGCCTCACAGTCATTTTGCTTCCCCAGTACAGCTACACATCGAGCAGACTGCAAGGCTGCGAGCATTTCATCGTAGCTGCCAAGTCTCCGTCTCAGTCAATATGCTCAGTTTAACAAAGCTGCTTCTGATTCTGAGCTCTGAGAGGCATTATTAAAGGTCATCTACTTGCCAAAACCTAAATGCTAAACACCTTTACATAGCCCAAGTATATGATGAAACATCTCTCTGCTTATTGAAGGAGACGTGAAAGAACATCTGCATTGAAAGCAGCAGAATAATAGGTGTGGCAGTAAAACAGCATTTTTTTTCTCATCCTGGCTGCCCCTCTTTCTGAATTTTGCTTTCACCTTTCTTTCTTTTTTAGAGGAGGGAAGAAACTGGGGATATTGAGTGCTGAGAAACTGCACCTGCACGATCTCAGCTTTGTCTTGTTTAGTCGAGTAGTACCCACTTGCTCTTTTTCTTCCATTTCCTTATTTTCTGCATCCCTCATTTACTTCTATTTGCTTAACCTTGTCTCTCATATGCAGGTGGTGACTGACCCACAGAGAAGCTAAATATCATAGATCTTGGGACTGAATTCAGCTGGGAACTGAGACTAGACACCCCAAATATAGTCTATTTGTTCTTGCTATTGAGTTTAAGGGCAAAACTTGCCTCTGGGAACTGAATGATTGCACTATCATCATCTAGATACCTTTTCAAATATTACTGAAATGGACAAATTGGACCCTACATTTTATTTCTTAGCGTATAATTTAACAGTGCACCTTTCCTTTGTCCTCAACTTCTTATTACTCAAAGGTTTTAGYAAATTCATGTTTCAAAAGCAAATAGATCTATATTCAGTCTCTCCCYGTAAATACATTTACGCCCTTTCTTTTATTGCCAATTTGAATACATTCCAGTGGTTCTACATTTTGCCTTGCAGCTGATGTTCAGTTTAATCAGCTGTGCTTTCTTTAATCTCTGACACCTCACCTTAGACACTGACCTCCAGTACAAAGTCAACAAATGTCTCCTGACAGTTTGAGTATATCAAATGTGCTGAATACTTTTCATGAAATAATATCCTCAGATACTTCTGAGAGTTCAGGGTTTTGTAAATGTTCTGATAGCTTGTAAAGCAAATTGAATTTTTTCTTGTCTTCAACATGAGAGTTTCATGTCCACTACAGAAACTGATTGCACATTTCCATTTTCTCTGCTCTCTGAGGCACTCTGTTAGTGAAGACAAGATAAAGGGAAGGCTTTGGGAAATGGACATTCCTACTTGCTATGTATCACACACTGTGTGATTTCACACAGTCAGAGGGGACTATGTGAAAGGGAGGGCCAAGAGAACTGGCTGGTCATCTGCATCTTTCTTTCAGACAGAGGGAGAATATTCTAGGAGATAACAGCATGAAAGTGCAAAACTAGAACCTAATAAAAGCACATCTCCATGGCTCATAGGCATTTTTGCATGGCCCATTGCTGCAACATTTAGGCTGTGAAAAAGGGCAAGTATATGTAATTCTTGGACAAAATGTAGGTTGTTTTGTTCTGCACTGCATGATGCAGTCCTTGCCCTGTGCTCCCATGMGAGTCCTTCTGTTGACTTCAGCAAACACCCAGTGAGACCCGTGCTCAACACATTTCACCAAGAGCTGGGGGAAATTCTTGTCAACAATTGCAGCAGCACCTGCTAAGGTGTTTGTRCTGTACATCAGAAGACTTCTACAAACCATAAAGAGTTTCACACATAGGACCTTGGTCATAAAGTGCAGCTTTTAAGACTAGCACCCATTAGTGTGATTAATGAGAACAAGAGCCTGGGAGAAGAGGTTGAGTGGCCATRAGATTGAATGAATCAATTGGGGAATCATTAATGGGACAAAATTAAATGGACTGAAACAGAATAACATTGGGGATGACAAGTTTACTTATAGCTATGCAGGACTGCAAATCTTACTGCTCACCCAGCAGTTCCTTAACCAAACTTTGATTACTTTCTACATAAACTCACTTCTGGCGTATTTTGTATTAACTCACTTGTTTTCAGTGTGTTAACTGATTTGTCAAAAAAGTATATTTTACAAATACTAAAAAACCTTAAGACATAATGTTTGAGATACTGACTGTCAAACACACCTGGGAGCTGAGTTTCATTTTGATTATTATGTTAAATTTCTCACTTTATACCTTAAATGACTATTTTGAATTGCTTCTTAATTGTTAGGAAGTCATTCTCACGTGGAGTAATTAATTGGAAATAGTCAATTTAATAGCATTCCACACTGAACCATCATTCACTTATTAAGTACAGTTGGACACAATTTTCCCATCAGGTTTGTTCGTAAATACATATTTCCAAGATCCTGTTTTATATAATGAGTATTACTAATGTTTATACTTTAAACTGTTTTTGCCTTGACCTCTTGTTTTGATAAGCCTACTCTGAAGTGGAAGCTCAGCTAATCACAAATAGTTGTAGTCTTAGTAATATATTGTACTGAATCAAATGTTTCCAGAAAGCAGCAGATAGTGAAAAATGTTAAAAATGTAAGYAATTGTGGCACATAAATAGAAGCCTGACACAAAGAATGAAATTATTTACAGGCTTCAGTAAGTCTGGGCTACAGTATGTAAGTCTACAAGGTCTGCTTCAGTAAGTCTACAAGGGCAATTTTTATAAGGACAATAGTTGTGCATATATTTTGTCAATATAATTACTTTATTCTTTGAGAAACTTGGACCAGAGTTTAAATAATGTAGTTTTGTGTGTGTGAAGAATTGTGAACTTCAGTATGAGCATATAGGCTTTGAGTTAAGTTGCTGAGAATATATGACAAAGTTAAAGGACTYTGAAGATGATCTGTAAAAGTTGTTTCAGTCTGCTTTATTCTTTATACTGAAGATGAAATGAGAAGCATTCTCAGACTCCTCAATATACTGTCAAGGCATTTTGGACATCAGTGAATCCCTAGCACTTTTCACAGGCAAGAATTTTGTGTTAGTCTTTGAAACTTTAGTAACTTAAAATTTTTCTAAACATTTTGCAAGTTTGCATTTTGATTTCATTGCATATAACTTACTCTGTTTTTTTCTTCCAGAGCGATTCAATGTATATCTTATGCCTACACCGAATTTGGACATCTATGGGGAATGTACAATGCAGATCACTCACGAAAACATATATCTCTGGGACATCCACAATGCCAAGGTCAAGTTGGTCATGTGGCCTCTGAGCTCTTTGAGGAGATACGGACGTGATTCAACATGGTTCACATTTGAGTCTGGAAGGTAAGAGCTAAAGAGAAGCAGCAAGAATAAAAGAAACAGTCATTTTTGGGCAGCTGTCTGGTAAGTAAGACTAGCCCTCGTTATGAAGTAAGATGGAATACATGGTTTATCCGTATACTTCTGTCTCCTGAATATTACTTTTCAGTATATTCAGCTCTCTGTTCGAAACAAACATTAATACTATAAAGTACAAATACTTTATAAAATACTGCATAATACTATAAAAAAACTATAAACAATATTTAAAAGAAACATAAAGCTTTTATACTTGACATCTCCCAGCTGGGGGTATTCATTSACTCTGTTCTTTATTTAACTGTCATTGAGTTGTCCATCTTAAGTTTTACATGTCTTAAACACTAGTGTAGGTTATATTTGGGTGCTGCTGATGTAGAAGAAGGAATTGTGAATCATGGTAAAAGCTTGTCATATAGGTTGAATGAAGCTTCAGCTTCAGCTACAACGGATATTATTCTTCTTAGATATTCCTGATGCATGATTTACACTCTAATATAATCATACAAAGAAGAAAAATCACATAAAAAGGAGTGGAYGCAATGAAAGTCTAGCTTTTTTTCTGTCTGGAATTTTAATCATCATTGCCATTTCCATCCTCAAATCAAATTTAAGGATCTGGGCAAGTCTGTTTTTCCTTCCATTTCATATCTTTTTATTGCATATCATATCTTGTCCATATCATCTGCCTGWTTTTTTTTTCAGAAACCAAGAGGTGTATTTCTGTCCTTGATGTTTTGTCTTAAATTTTATGATTCTAGACAGTTCTAATTTTGTACCAATTCCCTATGCAGAACAGTCTATGGAGTCAGGTGTCCCTACAATCTTGTGTTAGCCACACTTGCTAAAAATCTTAGATGTATTTTAGTATGTACTTATTAAAATGGYATTAACAAAGATTTGTGAAAGTACATCTGGTGTTAATAAACAAAACCACCATGTTTTTAAATTCTAAAACAGATAGCAAACAAAATTTGTCTGCAGCTTCTTATTGATTGTATTGGAATTATTGCTTGACTCTTAAGATGTATATCAAGATCGATATCAAAAGAGTATCTTTGTGTTCTGCAAATTAACTGCTGGAAGTTGATTTGCTGTATGTGGCTTAAAATGTGTGTGTGTCTACAGTGTTTTAATTATGAAAAATGACAAACTGTAGCATACTGAAATTCTGTCTTTTTTTTTTTTTTTTGCTAAAACAGGATTGTTGCTTTCTGTTCTGCTCTATTTTTAACTATGGCACATCAGCACTAGCAAGTTATATATAGTGATTGTGCATACTCAAGTAAAATGCAAGAGATTTTTATCATATTGCTTTTTCCAGCTTCCCATACTGATATTTGTACATCATCTCCCCCTGCCATCCATACACCAGGCATCCTGATGATAAGTGGATTGTTTTCCTGTGTTTCATTTTTATGAGCTAGCGCTGCCTTTATCTGTCATACTTTATTTTTTTGATCTGATTTCTTCCTTTTGCTTGCTTGAGAGTGCTTTATCTGTCTGATTTGAAAATGCATGAAGATTAAATTTAGACTGGCAGAAAAATGTAGAGGGAAAATAGGACTACAGAAAAACAGTGTCTTTAATAACATATGAAGACTATATAGGGCAACACTAATACCCAGTTTAAAATCTCTTTTTATTTTTGTGGGGATTTATTTATCTTTTATTCAGGATGTTTCTGGACATGATTTTATGTTTGTTCCTTAATCTGCTAGCATCTTAATACAGTGAATTCTTGATGCAGAGTCTCTTATCAGAAGTGAAGCACTCATCCATGCTTGATGGCAATGTTACATAGTAAAAATGTTGTTGCTTTATTTTTCCCCTAAGGCTTAAAAGTTAAATGTAGAGAATTGCTTTAAAATAAATATTTTGAAATAAACTCTTACTGTTTGTAGAGCAGCAGCAGCTATGCAATATATATGCATGTGGCTAATATATGTGAATATTAAGAACTCCATTTCATATGTTTATTATTATGCTATTTATTATCTGTACTTATTTTTGAATTACTTGTTTCACAAAAYAAGTGTATCAGATTAAAATAAGTGGACGTATTCATGAAAAAAATACTATGATAAGTAGATCAAAATTAAGTTTAAGATAAACATATTTCGTTGCATTTAATTGAAATATATACTTCCTTGTATCCCACTAAACTGTTCATTTGTGTAACGAAGTCTAATAACTGCATGCTTGARAGGATATCTTAAACATAAGAGGAATAACACAGAATCTTTTCAGTATCCACATATTTGCATTGACTTTTCCACTAAATTGGAGATTGTATGTGTATGTATATTGTGTATAAAGTTTCATTAACTAGATAGCCAATGAAAATAACTATTTCTTGCAAACTAATATAAATTTTTGGAAACCCAGTGTATATACTCCTCCATTCAAATTCTGCAAAGCTGTAAAGAAAGCATAGTGTTGTGTGGCTTGGTTAAAAACTGGGTGGTGAAATTCTTTGACACTCAGCATTTTGATATCTGATAAAATCACTGRTAAGTGCTAATCCCATACAATCTATACATTGATCAGAAAATATTAATTCACAACTCTACTGGGTATTGATGCTATGGTGGCATTTTACCTATTAATAATGTTTACCTAATATAAGGAATGGTTCCCACAATTATTTAAAGCACCTAAACTAGGAGCTGACCATTTACTTTTCACAAGCCAACTTCAGATTGGCTTGATCCGTTATGCTGTTGAATCATCACTGAGTCAACAAAATTACCTGATTTTAAGATTAGATGTAAGGTGCCAGGCATTTCAGATACCTCACTATTTAAGGCATGTGATGTGTTGGAGACATAAGGATGCGTTTGATCAGTGCAAGTGCAGCAGCATTCATTTGTCTTAGAGTCTTTGGAATTGCCGCTGCACATTGTAGGTCTGTCTGCGCAGTGTTGGTGATTTTAAGCCCTTGAAATGGGAAACATGATCCTTTTGGGGGTGTCCATGAAATTCTCCAGATAGAGATTGCTGGATTCATTAATTCTGTACAATCTAAGAAACATGCCAGAATAGTGGTAAAATAGATGAGGATAAAAATATCGCATGATTTGGATCAGATGTGAAAGTATTATTTTCAGCCACTTGCCAAAATTACAGGATTCATTTTAGTGAGGGTAAAAACCAAAAAACCAAAAGGCGATTAGCATTTTTTAAAAAATTACTGTCTGGAAAGTACTTTCTATTTCAGCAAAACAAGCTCTCTGAAGTACCCTCTGAGACCCCCAAGAATTCAGGATTTTCTTTCATCTGTTGGGGTGAGGCATTGAGAGAAGTAAACACATATGGACTCTGTTCTTCTGGAAATATTGTTTGTTTTGCTTTACTGCAGTTCTTATTTGCATTAAACTGTATTTTTTTTTCCACATGGAAGCTCTCTAGTCAAGTGCATTAACTACTGGCAAGATATATCAAAAAAAAAAAAAAAAAAAGCCAAAAGAAAGTGCTGAAGTCAAGTTAAGCATGATGACAGATTGCAGTATGGAGATAGGCTGCAATAACCCTAGCCAAAAGATATGAAATATTGAAAGTTTACATGAGAAGGGAGACAGAGACAACAGGTATATTCTTGGAGAATTTTGAGAAAAATTAGAAGTAGTCACAAATCTGTTGGCTGCTCCTTTTTTTTCTGCAATATGCTTTCTTCTTTTATGTAGAAAATATGTAAATACTTGCAATCATCTAAATTTCAAGTTTATTCATGCTGCACATTCAGAGAGACCCACTGAGTCACACTGAATTATTTTTTATCTGTGTTTGCTTTTTCTTCATCAGATACAAACTAATTAAACATGGTGTTCTCTCACTCGTAAGATCTGAAATTTGTTTCCACAGATAAGAAAGCATTAGGTTCAAGCACTGTACAGTGGTGACATGAGACTTTCTCTCATTTCTCCCCCCACCTTACTTTAACGTGACCTAACACTGACTCACTGTGCATTTTCTCAGTGGTAGATACACAGATGCTAGGACTATCTGAAGCAGAAAGTTCAGTGTTTGCTTCAGGTGCTACATCTGACAGAAATCTAATTGTCAGTCTTCTGTGGCAAGTTTTGATGTTAATGTGAAACATAGTCAGTTAACCCTTAGAGTTCTGGGGCTCTTTACAGTTGACTTACTGGAAACATGCTTTTTTCCTCTATGTGGGGAAATGCTCCTTTTGTAACTGCCTCATGAATTTGTAAGTCAGTGTGGGTTTAAAAAAATGATAACCAGTCAAATGCAGCTGCAATAAATGTTTATCATTTAATGCAAGCACTAGCTCAGTGTGCCGCTGGATAATATTTGTTGACTTATTTTTGTTTTAGTGTTATGCCTTTGTTATACTTTCATAATGCTAAATTTACCTATGATTTGTATTGTCAGTGGTTTGGCTTTTGGTGTGTGTTCTCACAGTGTCTTCCCTTCTTTCTCAAATGCTTTCTGCAGGTGCAGTGTATTGGTTGAACTCATAGAATAACTTCCTCAAAACTAGAGGATGTTGTATTCCCTCATTCTTTTAGTAATCACATAGCCCTAATTTTAGGACAAGTTATATTTTCACCACTGGAAAGGCTTAATTAGTTCTTGATATTTAGCAGTACTAAGGTTGTAGTCAAATGAGATCTAAAATCAAAGTCAAGTCAAGTCAAATCAAATCAAATCAAGTCAAATGAGTTCCATTCCTACTTCTTTTCCCTTTCTAGCAGTCAAACTGACTTCTGCCATCTTCTTGATCTGGAATAAGTTCTATGTTAGTCCTCTGACTCATGTAAATCCTGCTTCATAAGGAATTGTGTATTTCATTGTGCCCTGTCAACTGCAAGACTCTCACTCTTGACTTTTGATTGTGCTGCTTCGTCTCAGAACTCCTAGATAAGAAGAAACTACTTTAGCTCATTGCAAGTGATTTATGATGTACTGCTTGCATCTTCTCCCTGCCAAGGCTGCTGTCAGTCAACACTTGTGTTACAAGG